ACCTCTGCTGCCCCCCCTCCCAACCCCGCATTGCTCTGCCTCCATCCTGGCCTGAGAAGCACTGGGACAGGTGACAGTGGTGATGGCACGTTGTGAGTGAATTAGACATACAGAGGCGCCTATTGGGACACCTCAGCAAGGCACCTGGTGGTATCTGGACTCGGTTTCCCCACTTGTTCAGTAAAACGGCTGGATCCGCTCCCACAGTGTTCTCCCAGCCTTACATTTCTAGCTCTCAGTCGCACGGTTTGTATCTGCCACATGGACTAACCCTTCCAGAGGGTGTCGCTTCAGGAGCAGGGCCCGGTGGCAGCCACCACTCCTTCCTCCAGACCCACTACCGCAGGGGCCCATGCCCACCTGGGCTCCGTGCTGGAGCCTCCTGTGTGATGTTGATATTTTGGTTTTAAGGAAAAAAGGTTGTTTCATACACACATTTCCTTTTAAACCTTGCTTTACTGTGAGGTCATCCAGTGCCACTGGGACAGCCAAACAGGCTGGCAGTGTGTCCACTGGCCAGCAGGCGTGGGCAGCGCCAGCACGTGGCCGTGGATCGAGCAGCCTTGGTGTGAAGCTGACGCTGCCCCTGTCTTGGGGAGGCCCGTGGGCACCCTCACCCAGCCTGAGCCAGTGCTGCCGAGGCACCGCTTGGGAAGCAGCTGCAAGGTGCCTCGAGGCTCCCCTTCTGCCTCTCGGGCACTGACGGCACAGCTCCTCCCACCCACTCCCAAGTCCTCACCCCTGAGTCCCACCCTCCCCGCCCATGGCAGCACCCAGGGTGCCCTCCCAGCCTGCTCCCTCCACCCCCGTGTCCAGAAACGAAGCAGAGGAGCTCTAGGTGCTCAGGGTGACTCGGAAGATCTCCCAGAAACTGCAAATGACAGAAAGAACTAGTATAGGTCACCCCATTTCCACCAAGAAGTGGAAGGGAGCAACTTGATGAGAGAAAATTGAAGGGAGAAGAGAAAATAAGGAATCGGACCTGTGAAGGGAGGCATGGGGAGCCTTATCAGGCCTGAGCTTTGTCCTTATTTTTCTATTAACCTATATCCTGTCATCTTGCAAAACGGCTTAGACACGCACACCAAGTGCTAAGCTGGCCGACACCCCAGCAACTCACACTGAAGGTTCAGTCCCAGAACATGCCTGCAGGAACGAGAGCTCTACCACATGTCACCTGGTCTCTGCCCAGAGGCAGGGCCATGTGCCCGGGCAGCTGTGTGCACACGTCGCAGGGCCATTGGAGCATCTCAGAGGTGTGAGCAGCACTGGGCGGCTCTGCCAGGGGCCTCAGGACTCCCTGCCTCCCTGCTCTGGGCACTCTGTCTCCTTGGTCGCCTTGTGTCCAGTAGCTGCACTGCAGCCTTCTTCAGGGGCTACCTGTGCAGAGGGTCAGGGAGCTGGGAGTTTCCGTTCCTCCCTGTCACCCCCTCCTGAGGCAACCTGGGGAGGGGTGAACACCCAGCTCCCTGGTCAAGGCCTGACCAACCCTCAGGTGTAGCCGAGGCTGGGGTGCTCGGCTTCCTGCCCTGAGAGCCCCCCACAGGACCCAGGAGAGGCTGGGGCGCTCCTCTGCCTGCCCTCAGAGCCCCCCACAGGACCCAGGCGAGGCTGGGGCGCTCGGCTTCCCGCCCTCCAGTGCTGCTTCAGCCATTCCGTACCCCTGTCTCCTGGGGGACTTCCTCATGCATCCTGTGGAGGAGCCCTGGTCTCGGGAACCTGGCCTAAGACAGAAGCCTTGGGCGTCTTTCCTCTAAGCCCCCGCTGGAGGCCTGCTCCCCGCTTCTCCGTGTCCTCCAAGTAAGACTGGGGCTTGCCATCCGCTCAGGGCCCAGCCCGACGACTGTCAGACACCCAGGTTCTCCTGCCCAACTCCGGGCAATCCGCCTCACGCTGGTGGTAAACAGCACCGTGAACCATGCAAACTTAGAGACAAGGGAGCCACTGGGGAGGCTGCTCTGGGATGGGTCGCTGATGAGGAAACAGCTGGCCATTCTGCCACACGCCAGGGAGCAGCTGCTCTAGCCCAGGAGCATGGGCACCACAGGAGCGACTCCAGGCTGCGCGCCTGAGTCTCCCCCCAGTGCCAGGACCAGGCGGTCGCAGAGGTTCCTCTTGGTGTCTCAGACCCTCCCGACCATTCACCATTCGCTGTCCCTCTGAGGCGGAGTGCACAGAAGCCCCGTGAGGCTGGGCTGCCTGGGCCGCTGCTGCCTGGAAGGGTGGGGACCGACCGGGGAGGTGTGTGGAGGGGGACTTGAGGGCATAGGAGCAGCTGGTTCCCGAGTTTGGGGCAGAGATGGCCTATGGGGTCTCAGCTGACCCCAACGAAGGCTGTGATCCCAGCAGCCATGCAGGCGAGTGCTCCCAGGTGGGGTCCATCAGTATTTTGGAATGGGTAACATTTAGTTTTCAAGATACCATTGTACCTTTAATTTATTAGCTTTCCATAAAACACATAACATACACAACCTACAGTAGAGAAAGTATAATTTATAAAAATATAAAAATCTCGATTATTTTTTAGTGTTCCAAGATATCGCTGCGTGTTATTTCAATAAGCATGTTTGAACAATGCACACTTACCCAGCACGATTACCCGTGTGGAATGGTTACAGCTCCCCTTTTTGTTTTAAAATAAAATATATATTAAGAAAAAGAAATGAAAATTGATTACATGTGCAGATTGTAAAAGCTTCTGCAGTGGAATCTGGGAAAAGAAACATCCGTTTTTACTATTGCTTAGGCCTATTTCCCAGTATTAATATGGGGCCAATGTGATTGTTTAATGAGGCTGTTTCCACTGGGAGGAGCGAGGTCCCAGGTGTGCAGTCTTCTGTGAAGGCCAGGGATGATGCCACGGCCGCCAACAGTGTGGACAGGTTCGGCTTGCCGGCCTCCGGGGCGCGGGATGGGCGGTGGCCCCCTTCAGACTGGGCTGATTCTCGGGTCCTTCAGGGGCTGTCACTGGCAATAAAACCCCAGAATGATGCCCTGGGGACAGATCCTCCTGGGCTGCGAGGCCGCCTGTGCACTGCCTGTGCGCTGCCCGGCCTTCGCAGCTGCACCTCCAATCAAGCTCTCACTCCAGGGCGCGGAGGCCGCTGCCCCGAGGGCACCGGGGGGTTCCTTCCCTGGAGCAGCCGGTCTTACCGGCAGGCACAGGTCTCCACAGACATGTTGGGGTACACCTTCAGAACCACATTCCGGTTCTCATCCAGGAAGAGGACCCCCAGGGGGCTCATCTTGTCGGGAACGCAGCAGGGCTCCGGGATGCCTGGGACGATGCCCACGGCCCTGACGATGCTCTGGATGGTGGCGTGATTGGACGGGCGGACGATCTGCAGTGGGAAAGGAGCATGGTTACCTCAGCGGTCTGCCCTCTCCCACCCACCGAGCCATCTGCAGGTCCTTGACTCAGCCCTGGGAAAGGCATTGACCTGGCGGAAAAGGTGCGATTCCAGGGACAGAGACCTGGGAGTTTGCAAGAGACTCAGGCCTTCCTGCCCCTCCCACCTCTCAGAGCGGTCACAACGCCTACATGGCACTGGCCGCTTGGGGGCACCTGCTCCTCACCCATCCCCGAGGAGCACCTGGAACTGGGCAGGCGCCTTCAGAGGGAAGGCCTAAGGAGATGCCCAGCGGGTTCGGCTGGGCCGCAGCGGCCCCGGTTGCACAGGCCCAGGAGTACCGCGTGTTCCGCACCACGGAGCTCTGGGCGCCGACGGGCAGCTGCACATGTGAGCACGGGCGGCCTGGACACTGACGCTTCCTGGGAAGGTGGACGCGGTGTCAGTGCTGCTTCACCTGCGTCACCCCATTAGCCATCTATGAGCCTCATGGGGTGGCTGTTACCACATTTCACTGGTGAGGAAACTTAGAATGGCTAAGAAACTTGACCAAGACCCCTCAGGAAGACAGCCAGGCACAGGCTTCTCCTCCTCCCCAGCAGCCTCGCACCCCCAGGAGGCACGGGGCACAGCAGCAAACCCAGAGAATGCTGCTCCATAGGCACCTCTGACAGGGGAGCAGGATTCAGTGGGACCAGAGCTTTATGTCACTGTGTTGAAGAGACAGCCCCTGGTGGGAAGCAGGGAGGGGAGGGAGGCAGGGACTTCTGATTGTGGGATGCAGGCAGGTGTCAGGAAGGTGGGAAGGCAGCCAGCCAGGTGACAGGGTGAGTGCAGGGCCAGCCAGCGGGAGTCCGGACTCTGTCAGACCTACACGCCATCCTGAGGGCACCGCCCTCCCTTTCTCTGGCGCATGCACGGCTTTGAGGAGAAGCCCCGTAAGGCCCAGCAGAAGAATGCTGCCCGCATGGGCCCTGGGATTTCCCAGCTGGCTGCCTTACTGAGGTTCGAATTGGCTTTATGCACTGACTTCCTTTCCTGAAGGGAAGGCATGACCCGGAACTCAGCAGAGGAGCTAAGCACAAGGGAAGTGTGCGCTGTGACCGAAGATTGGCATCAGCTGGCAACCAGCCGCACGCTCAGGCAGCAGGAGACGGACAGCTTGGAGGGAAGGTGAGGCTGCAAGCATTGCCAGTGCGGTGGACAGAGCAGCCCACAGCGTGTGTCTGCAGACTCCTGCACTGTGAGGGCTGGGTGCCCTGTGGGTCTCTGCCCTGAGTGGGAGGAAGGGAGGCGGGAGTCCTCACTGAAGTCACTGAAAGCAGCTCTGTGCTGGTCACAGACACGGATGCTGAGGTGAGGAGGGAGCTCTGACGCCCTGTCCTGTCTACAGGGGGCAGCATCTACTCAGCCTCTGCGGATTGTTGCTTTGTGGGAACACACACCTAAGGAGAGGGGTTCTCCCCTTTGCAAAAGCAGAAATGTTCCGATCTAAAATTTAGTTCAACCAAGTCATCATTTTCAAAAGCACAGCCCAACCATATCCCTCTGTGGGCTGTACCCACCAATAGGCGACCACATGGGGACCTGTCTACCCAGGCCCCGCAGATGGGAGGTGTTATCATCCCTGTCTTACAGACCGGAAGCAGCACCAGGCAGAGGGACTAGCCAGCTGGGGACAGCTGAGAGTCAGAGGCAGTGGGCGGCACGCCCTACCTTGGGCATGGGGAACTCGCAGGCTCCCGCGCAGTAGTAGGCGTCGAAGGACTTGGGAGAGATGATCCATTCATTCCACCCGATGTCCGCAAAGTCCACCTTCAGGTACCTGCGGGAGCAGACCCTCGGCTCGTCCCACTGCTTCCTCCGGGCTTTCTGCATCGTCTTTTCGTCGAAGTGCAGCACCTGCGAGGAGGCTGCGAACGCGTCCTGGCCCTTCCTCCTGCGGTCCTTGCGCCCTGGCCGGGGCTTCAGTGTCCGGAAGGGGCTGGGCCACAGTGCGTGCTTGTGGCCGTGAGGGGCGTGGGGCGCCTGTGCTGGCTTCTCGTCCAGCCCCGGCAGCTCATTGTCCTGGAAGGGCCCAGCAGCCTGCGTGGCCCGCCGGACGCGGGGGTCTGTGGAGCTGTTGGGGGCGGCGCCGGGCTCCGGGTCTCCAGCAGGGAAGGGGTCGTATCTCTGCAGTGTCACTGCCACACTGTTGGGCTCTGAGATGGCCAGGTCATTGGCATAGATGAGAATGTAGGGTGCGTGGGCGCTGGGGCGGGGCACCCCAGGGTCCTTCTCCCCAGAATCCAGCTCGGCAGAGAGAAGCAGTTCGCCATCCCGGCGGGCCGCCTTGACTAT